GGGCGATAGAAAAATGTGAAATAGAAAAAAGTAAATTGTGAAAATGTGTTTTGGAGCGGGGAGAGATAAATAAATTTTAAAATATAGATTAATAAAATAAATTGGGATTTAAAGTGCCCTTTTGGGCACACTCCCCGCCCCGGCGGAAAAACATTTAGCGAGGGGGAAGGCGAGAAATGGTGGTACGAATGGATTTCAAAACACGTGTAATTCCTCCCTCTATTGCCAAAAAATCATGGATTGGCTCTTCTAATTTTTCTTGTTCCAAATCTGCAAGAGCTCGGCCAACTGATCGATTAAGTTGTTCTGCCTGGATACGCAGAGTTCGGAGGTGTTGGTCGACCAGTGGTGAACGACCGAGGGCCGGGCGAACAGGCCGGCCCCCAGCAGCTTCCCGAGCATAAGGAGTAGGGCGACGAGGATCACCTCGAGGGCCTACTTCCCCATGGTCCGTTTCTCCAACGCGAGACAATGGGATAGGTCGAGGAATCGCACCCTTAACCTCCGGAGGTGGGAAAGCGGTCGGTTGTTTAACGGACGGCATTGATGTTGGCGCACCATAAATTTGAGAGGTAGAAGCTGGTGGCGGAATAGCCACGGCCTTTTCAGTCAATTTACTGATGCAGGTAAGGAGGGCATTTGATATGCGCTCCTCGAGGCTGCAATCTGTATAAATGGATTTTGGGGGATTTTCAGGGTTTTCACTTATACCTCCTCCGCTTCCAATCGTAACTTGCCCTTCCATTTGTGATGATTGAGTGGGAGCAAGTGCTGTTGCCAATTTATATTGTAATGGCGGCTGGGTGGATGTCGTTAAAGGAATTGGAGGTGGTTGGTTTTGTTGCTGCTGTTGTTGTTTATTTTCATTTTCTATTTGTGTTGTCAAAGGTAAAATTGAAGCAGAAAAATCCTCTTCTGGATTAACAATTAGCGCTGTTTTTGGACTCTGCGAGTCCTTATTGCTTTCGATGAATTTTGTATTGTTGTCTGGACGTGGAATCTCTTCCATTGAATTAACCAAACGGTCCATTTCTTCTTGGTCCTCAATACTTTGAGGTTTTCCAAATGTTGCAATAAAGGCACTCTCACGAGCTTTTTTAATAATTCGTTGTTCCTTGACAGTAGCAGAGCTGGAACGTTTAGGCATACTAGAAATTAGTAAGTAATTGTTGTTAACAAAGGGCAAGAAACAACACGGAGCGCGAAAGAAAGGACAAAGTAAAAAACCGTTAAATTCTTGAGCGGGGACAGTGTCCGCGCCTAGAGCAAAAGCCAAAGCAATTATAGCAAAAATAATTGAGATGGATTTAATGGGGCGCCACGCACGAGGGATTATAATCTTTAGGGCTTCCTCATTCCCCTCCTCTCTTATCACCTCGGGCTCTCGAGGATTCCGAGCCGTTGGTGGTTGTGTGGTTGACGAACTCCCGACCCTAGAAGAGGGTCGAATATTGCGCCCTGTGGCGGAATGTCCAATCCTCGGTTCCGGGTATTCAACCGGGGTGTATATCAAGAGCTCCAGGGGTAAGTATTCTTCGTGGAGTTGGCCTGCTTTCCAGCAAGAGTGGCCAACCGCACGGGCCCTCTGCCTACTCTGCCTGGAGGAGCCTCGAACTCCTCCCTTCAGGACCAGGCACGGGAGTTCGGGATACTCCAGTGGCTGACCCTTATCCCGGAAAAAATCCTCAACAGTCTGCCCCGGCTGAACATCGGTGATCCAGGCGGGGGGACTGAGGATTGGATCTGCCTGCGGCAGCCTCTTACCCTTATAGGTCAAATTCTCCCAAAGGAGGAGCAACAAACCCTGTGCTCGTCGGCGCGGAGTGTCATTGGTCCAGGTCGGGGGCCAAAAGCGCCCGACGGATTTGGGAATGTATTCGGCCATTGTCTGTCCTCTCCGTGGCCAGTCAGGAGTGTATCCTACCTCCTGGCATTTTAGAAAATATTCCCTATAGGTAGATCCTGGCTCGTACTCGGGGGGTACGAGGCAGGGTTGCGCTTGCATTTCTTGAAAAAGGAAAAGGTTTAGAGTCGCAATGGATGGAAAGGTCGCTTGGGAGTTTTGAATAAACTGCCAAGTGGAAAATGATTTTTCTTGGCTTTGCTGGCTATTTATAAAGCCAAACTTTTTTGGTTGAATGTTGGGCGGTGCGATGAGAAAGTTTTGGCCCAATGGCCTTGCCTTCTTTCTCCTTCGTGCACCGCCAATTTTTGGCATTCCAATAAACAATTCATCTTTCAGAGAATTGAAGAAAAAGATAGCCATCTGTGTGTTTCGATGGGTAAAGTTAATGTGAAGTAAACAATTATTCATTTTTACTTCCTTTTGTTTATTTGATTTAATGTGACGGACAGGCGCTTGTTGAATAATGCGCCATAGTGCGTCTTTAGAATTACAAAAGTTAGCTTTATTTTTGGCCTTTGCTAACTTTTCAAAAAGGGATGTGAAATGTGTAATTTGTGCAGATGTTGGACAGAAAAACATTTTTAAATGTTTAATGTGCACACAATTATTCTTTTGTATTTGCCAAATTTTTATTTGAAGTTTGGCCGATGTTTTATTCAATGGGCATATAGCCCCTTCCCCGCCGGCCAAAAAAATGGCGATAAAAATTGGGACAAGTTGAGTCGCAATTTTTCTAAAAAATTTTAATTTAAGCCGGAGGAAGAAATAGAACAAAATTAGAAGAGAAATTAAAACAAAGAGAAGAGATATGATAAATCCAATTGGTAGTGCGGGGAAAAGTGAGTACGGGCTGAAATTTGATAAATTCCAGACCGATGTCTTTTGCCCGGACATCGATTGTACTATCTCTCTTTCTTTCCACGGGAGAGGGATAAACATCAGCTCTCCTTTGAGATTAAATTCCGAGTCACCTCCCGGACATTTGGTCGTACAAATAGTGTCGATTCTCGATCTGGTGTAGGTAAAAGCGGCAATTCCCTCCGTTCCGTTTTTAGAGCAACGAGTAACGAAGTTAATGCCATCGGCACATCGGGTATAAGCGAGTGCCGTGCCAAAATCAGTCGTGCAAGTAAAATTTACTTGGACGCCCTTAAGGCACTTATAGCAACCTCGAACATTCTTGGCAGTGATTTTGCAGGACGACTCAGTGATTTCTGATATTAGTTGGAAATTTTTCATTTGTAAGTGAATTTGGATAGGGGTATAAGTTTGTTCAACATAAACTTGCTCTCCATCTGTTAGGAAGGTGTGCCGGCCGATGTTGAGGGGGAGACGTGCCTCTGGGTCGGCAAGAATCGCCTCCGCGTCAAACTCTCGGCATTGACACGTTACTGTATCATTTGCGTGGCGACAGTCTCGGCACGCCTCTTCAGAAATGCTACAGCCAAAACCTCGGGCACTTGGTAGATCGGGACATTTTAAGTCTCGAGGTACATCTTTTCCTAAAGCAACAGAAAAGCCATGCGTTAGGAAAGAGGTGCCTAAAATTGGTGCCGGAGGGTTAGAGACAGCTATTGGTGTTAATGATATGTTTGTTCCGTGATGGGTCAGTCCCGGTATTAAAGTCAAAAATTCCTCTAGAACATTATCATTGACTGTAATCGCGAGATCTGCTTTTATGTGGTAGTCCCATGTTGGACATTCAAATAGCTCGTAAACATCAAGGGACATGGGGACTGCGTACCAGCGGTAAAAGTGACAGCTGGCTGTAGGTAATCCGCATCCCTTACTCCACATAGCGGATGGCTCGAGGCATCCACTAGTGCCGACTTTATCCATTATTTCAACGAGTTCGGGGATATGCGTGTTTGGCCCGACTTGTGAGCAGAAGCTTCCTGAACAAGAGCCGCTAGTCGGACATCGCCAGACTGAACGGGTATTGATCTGGTAACTTCTTAGGTAGGCTATTGTCTTTGGATTGCAGACGAGAGTTAGTGCTTTTAGGGTCAACGTCAAAGCTCCTAATACTTCTCCAACTTTATTTTTTATTAGGAGAGTATTGGGCTGGCCAGCAGGCAACAAACTCAATGTTGTTGAGCTGGTGACCGAACAAAATCTAGTGCCATTATTGACTCGGCAACTCTCGGATTGTGATATTACAGCTACAGTATCAGAGTTGGCGAGTGAAAGGTTAGAAGCTAGGAAAAGAGAGAAGATACCGTAACGTGCGAGACGCATTAAGCTAGCTTGTCTCAGTTCCCTACCTTTCTTTTTCACCTCTTTTATGTTTCTGGTCAATTTCCTTATTGGTTCTTTAATTATTAATTTTCTTTTTATTGTTTTTGCACGTTCTCTTTGCCTCCGGAATGCTTTTCTCAATATTTTAAAAAGGAATCCGAAGGGCTTAATAAATTTTTGTATGGCTCCGAAGAGGCAGCTGAGTAAAAGGAGAATGGGAAAGAGAACGCTGCAGGCAACAATGGCTGCCATTTTCGGTTTGCATCTTGAGTTCAATAAAAGCTCTAGACAGAAGTTGCAATCTATTAATTGACAGGGGTGGAAGGCAGAACATTGGGCAGAGACCTCATATGGATTTTCTCTATTTGTATCCCAAAAGTTTGCCTTGCACTCATAATTATTCACTAACATTTCCTTGGGCAGAATGTGATTAAATTCTGGCTGTCCGGGAAATAAGTGACAATGTTCTGCACAACAGATTTGGATTTTACTTATTTTTTCAGGTGCAAAAATTCGTACTCCTCGATTATTGCAATGGACTAGGCATCCTCGACAAGAAGGACAACCAGTGCATTCAATAATCGAAACAGCTGAAATTGTTGAAAATAGTATTGAGGAGAAGCAAAGGACAAATAATGCAGCAGCCATTACTGTAGCTTTGCTGCGTGTAATCATTCGATGTTTTGGGGTAGTTGAAGGAATATCAATATTCCTTCCTTGTCTTAAATTGGTAGGTATTGGCGTAGGAGGAGGGGGATCTTCTTCCGCCTCTTCCTCAAACGGTGATATCTTTTTAGTGATTTTGATACCAGGGTCTGGTGGTTCCGTTTCTGAACCAGCAGAGTCATCTGGTTGTATGTTTTCTTTGTCATTCGATTTGGGTCCGGCCTCGAGTGGGTATATACGATTTACCGGCCTGGTAGTAATTCGACCATTTGGCATGCGAAGTTTTACACTTCGGATGGGTCCTGGTTGGCCGTTCAATTGCTCAACCCGAGCCATGATCCAAGTATTTCTCGGTTGCATAGAGTCTTCTACCAAAACAACGTCCCCAACTTCAGGAGATGATTTGGTCTGAAGGCGTGGTCCGGCGTGATTCCATTTGGAATTGTCACGGAGGAGCACCAAATACTCTTTTCTCCAACGTGTCCAGAGGGAGTCTAGGTTCTCTAGAGTCCCTTTCCAGTGGAGGAGTAATTGTTCGTGAGGTTGTAAATGTTCGTGTCGTTTTGGCTTATTGGCGGGGTCAAAATTTAGAATAGAGCCCGGTTGAATGAAATCTATTGGTCTGAGTGGTAACGGAGTACCTTCCCCATCTGAAACGTGGGTAAGTGGTCTAGAATTAAGAGCAGCTTCCACTTCAGCAACGAAGGTGGCAAGCTGGTCATAAGGTAGAATCTGCTTCCCTAGTGTACGCCTGAAGCATGTTTTGGCCAAACCGATCAATCTTTCGTAAATGCCTCCGGCCCATGGTGAAAGGGCCGGAATAAATTTCCATTCGATCTTACTGTCAGCCAAAAGCGGTGCTAAGGCGGCGCTAATTGCTTTCTCAGCGAGAACGAGATTTCTTCCGTTGTCGGTGAGAACTCTTTCCGGCTTGCCTCTCCGGCTAATAAAACGGCGGAAGACATTTATGAAGGAGGCTGCGGTCAGATCAAGTGTTGGTTCAATATAGACCGCTCTTGTTGTAAGGCAGGTTATAAGTACGAGCCAACACTTGACGAGCGCTCCGTTGACTTTGGTAAGGGTAGGCCCGGCATAATCGATTCCAATTGACTGGAATGGGCGCCTTTGTTGAACCCGGTCAGAAGGGAGCGGAGGCATTTCAGGTAAAGCGTATTTATAGGAATTCATTTTCCTACAGGCCATACAATCTGAAATAACACGGCGCACCGTCTGACGGGCTTTAGGTTGCCAATACTGATTAAGATATTCTGTAAGCGTCCAATCTACTCCCGCGTGGCATAATCCCTTGTGAATATGAGTTATCACAAGTTTGCCCACGACAGAATTTTTCGGGAGGAGAATTGGGTGGATCAAGCCCTCAGGGCTTTGACTATTAATCATCCGGGTTTGAAGGCGAATGATTTTATCCTTATCTATGATGTGTTTATATTTTAAAAGTTCTTCGGAACATTCATTTTGTTCCCATTTAATTAAATATTTTTCAGCCAAGGTGATATCCGAGGCTGTTGGAGGCCCATTTTTCGAGACCGATTTTAGGCCAATCGTTGGGGCTCCTTTTATCCCGAGTATAACATTGATGAACCTGAGTATGTAGAACATAATTCTTCTTGATTTGACCCAGGAGCTCGAGCGGATCAATCGCTGATGGCTTTCGCGCGAGGTAACCTGGGCTTGGAGAGTTAAAACTTGGTCACTGTGATTTTCTTCGGGTTCACTTCCTATAGCTTCCTTGAGGTTAAATGTCTCGAAATTGGGGTCCTCGGGCCAGCTGGAAGCACTTTCCTCCAACCAGTCTGGGCCGGACCACCACAGTCGGCTCTGATTTAGCTCTTGGGGTGTGAGGCCTCTGGTCGCTAAATCGGATGGATTTTCATTGGTACGAATATAGTGGAATGTTATGTTGGTATGTCTCTTTATTTCATCAAGCCTCCTTTGGACAAAGGATGGTTGGCTTTGGGGTGATCTAACCCATGAAAGGGCTATTTGGGAATCACTCCATAGGTGGATTTGAGTCAAAGGTACGCCTATCTCTTTCTTTACATAAGCCGTAGCTCTGACTCCGATAAGAATAGCAATTAATTCCATTCTTGGTATTGTTAGTGTTTTACCGCCTTTCTTTGGCTTGAGGCGATTTTTGGCAAATATCAATGAGGTGGAAATTGAATCATTGTTTACCCCTCTAAGGTAAACTGCGGCTGCATAGGCGCAGGAGGAGGCGTCTACAAATGTGTGTATTTCGGTTTCTTGAGGTGTAATTGAGAGCGCCCTCCGAGGAAGAGAAATGTTTGTGTGTTGCCACCCCTTGAGAAATTTTTCCCAAACGGATGTCTCTTCGTCGGATAGGGGGCTGTCCCAGTCGTGCCCCTCGTCCCAGAGCTTCTGAAAGAAAAGCTTTGCTGGGAGGACGGAGGGGGACAATAGGCCTAGCGGATCATATATGCCGGCTAGTGAGCTGAGAACGGCTCGCCTTGAGACGTTCTTTTTCATGGGTTCGTTGGGTAATTGGAAACTAAGACTGTCTGTATTGATGTTCCACCTCATCCCGAGAACCTTGGGCTCCTGTGCGTCCAATCGGTCTTTCTCGGGAATGGCATTCATCAATTTAGATGAATTGGATGAAAATTCTCGCAAGTTCATGCTTGCGTCAGAAAAAATCTCCTTTGCCCTTCGGCACTTGTCGAGGAGTTCGGGCCAGGTTTCAGCCCCTAGGTGTAAATTATCTACGTAGAGGCTGTTGGCTAGTTCGGAGGCAACTCCTGGGCCGTACTTGTCAAGATGGTGGCGAATAACTCCCGCTAAAAGATAGGGGGAACATATAACGCCAAAGGCCACCCGGGCGAAACGATAAACCTGAATGTTTTCGCCTACAGGGGGCTTTTGAAGTTCCTTCACCCACAAAAATTTGGCGACCTCTCGGTCGGCAGGGTGAAGCCCGACCATCAAAAATGCTGATTCAATGTCGGATATGGCGACATATTTGGGTTGGCGGAATCTGATAAGTAATCCGACAAGCTCAGGAAGCAGGACCGGTCCCCGAAGCAGGCAATCATTTAATGATGGCTGCCCTCGGGGATGGGCGCTTGCGTCGAATACTGGACGTAATTTGTGGGTAATGACCGCGTGGTGGGCAAGATAATGTTCTTGGCCTTCCGGGTCCTTTTGAGCCGGTTCGATAATTCCTTGCTTGAGGTAATCAAGGAAGACTTTATTGTATTTTTCTAATAATTCTTTTGATCGATTAAGGTTGTTGTATGTTGAACATAGGCGGCTGTAGGCCATTCTGTAATTACTGGGTAATGGGGCTCTCGGTTCGCGCCATAGCCAGCTTACGGTATATCTTCCTTCCTTATCTTGAGTAATTGATTTCTTCAATTGATTTATGGCAACTTGGTCATCGTCGGAGGCTGGATTTTCTCGAATACCTATGCTCTCGAGATTCCAGAACTCCTCTATTGTGTTGGATTGAGGCATTTGGTCCACGCTGTCGTTGCTTACGGTAGCTAGAGAATGCGATAGTTTCCCTCCCTGAGGGCTCATATCGGATTCTCCCCCAACTACCGGACCAAAGGCTGTTTGAATGACAAAGAGCCCTGGGGCGACTTCAGTCCTTCCCATAAAATATTTCCAGAAATGACGGGTGCCGAGCATGATTCCCGGGACTTCCGTCGAAAGTTCTATTGCTTTCTGGACTTCAGGAAAATCGGCAACTTGAGTAGGCATTTCGGCTACCCAGTTGGCCATTTCGAATGAAGTGCTTATCTCTTTAGTCCAATTAAGCTCTACTTCCTCCCATTCGCCGTCCTCTCGTTGGATGGAAATAGCATAGGACGGGGAACGAATTCTAATCGGATCGCGTAACGTCCCGCCAAAGCCGTGAACTTCAACATCGTCACGGGCAATTTGGGGAGGACGTAATTTTTTCACTAATGACTTTACAATGTAGCTTAACTGGCTCCCTGGATCGAAAAATACAAATGCAGGGATTTCCTTGTTTGGCTCTCTAGGTGAGGCAATCGCAATCTTTCTTGTCATAAGATATGCGGTTGGCTTTTTGCGAAGATGGGAATAAGCCATTGCGGTAATTGATTTCTCTGGTTGTACTTTCTCGTTGTCGATTGAAGGTTCTGTCAAATTTGAACCTGTGGCGGGACCTTTCTCCGAGGTCGCGGCCATTTGGGTAAATTGTTTTTGTGGTTTCTGTTTATTTACTTGACGATAATTTGCTTGAGGCCCTTTGTCTTCTCGGCCTTTCGTACAGACTAACATGTGGTGACCGCCCTGGCATTGTCCACATATTTTAAAAGAGTGGCAATCCCGAGAGGTGTGACCTTCATTTAGGCAACGAACACATCGGTTCTGCGCCCTTAGGCGACGAAAGCGATCTTGCGGCGTGGGATATTTCGGGCATTGTGACGGAAGATGGCCGACAATATCGCACAATGAACAACGGCGCGGTCCTCTAAACAGACGGCGGTTTTCTTGTCTTGACTGTATAGGCGCCCCGAAAGAGCGCGTTAATTCAGGCGGTCTTCCCTTCTGGGCTACCTTGTTCCTCTGTACGGGAGGATTAGTTATTTCCTGCCGGACTCTGGTTACGGTAGAGCATCGTTGTACTTCTTCTTTGATCTCAACAATTTCGCGCAGCTCCTTTCTGAGCTGGGCACAGTTCCACCGTATTCCAGAACCACGTTCCTTCTCAACTAATTTCGCAACGATTTGCTGTGGTAACTTAGATTTAATAGCGGTCGAGACGAACGGGGACGAATCAACGTGCCCATACGCCTCGAGCTGGCGACAAATGCGTTCTATGTTGTCGACAAACCCGCGGAGAGAATAAGTACTCTCATTGGCGGGGTGCAGATTCATTAGCTCGGCTTCTAAAGCCTCGGTAATGGCTCTGCTGTCTCCATACCGAGATTTAAGCAAATCGAGAGCTCGCGTATAGTTCTCGTTCGAAAGAACGAAACCCGCGACTAACTCCTTGGCAGGGCCCTGGAGGAAGGTAAGCAGGTAGCTCATCTTCCTGATATTATCCATAGGACGCTGGTCAATGTTGGCAGAAAATAGCTGCCAGAAGGTTGGCCACTTCCTGGGATCCCCATTAAAAGGATCCAAGCGAAGTTCGGGCAACCTAATATCTGGCTGGAAACGACTTACTTGTTGCTGATTAAACTCCTGATTGACTTGTTGAAATTGTTGTTGATTGACTTGTGGATTGACTTGCTGATAAGTTTGTTGATTGAATTGCTGATTGACTTGCTGGTAAGGTTGTTGATTGAATTGTGGATCGACTTGCTGGTAATGTTGTTGATTGAATTGTGGATCGACTTGCTGGTAATGTTGTTGATTGAAATGTTGATTGATTTGCTCGTTGTGAATTGACTGATGTTCAAGAACAGACTGGTGCTGTTCTTGCTGTTCTGTTTCGGTTAAGGTTTGACGTGAACCTTGACTTGCTTGACTGCTCGCCTCATCAGGTTCGGCGAGGAGATACTCAATTTCGTTGAGGACTCCCCTAGCTTGTTCCGCAATTTCCATGAAATGCAGTTGTCTGACTTGTACTCCCTCTCCTGCTGCGGGAGGAGGGAAATCCTGGTAGGTTCGCTCCTCGGCCTCCAGAGATTCTCCCTCGAGCCGGTCGATGAGGTTCGACCATTTCTCGTTCAGGTCGTCGACACGGCTCAGGGTACGGCCGAGGTGATGGTGCTCACCTCGGAGTTGTAATAGGTCCCGCTCGGCGCCAGCTCTCAGTAGCTCGGTGGCGGCGGCGAGATGGTCCTTGAGGGCCTTAAGTGCCGGTCCTAATTGGCTTCTGATTGGACCGGATGAAGGCATAATGATTCTCGAACTTGATAGGCTAAAGCAGGATTAAAGGCCAAGTTTGGGCTTTAAAACTGGTTAGGCTGGAAAAAATATAAAAATGTTTTTAGGTTGAAAAAAGTGGAAAGTTAGCACTTTTTTATTTATTTTTGGTAAATATGTGAAAGAATGTGACTGCCCGTGCAAGCAGTGACAAAAGGAAGGAAAAAGAGCGATGTCCCGTGAAAAGGGATGAGCAATCGCTTTTGTAATTTGTGTAGTGGCTGGCTAGAGCCAAAAATGTAAAATGTGCAGCCAATAGGAAAGTTGACTGCAGGTGGTTATTTTTGCCACTTAGGGGGCAAAAAACTAGTGATCGCCTGAAAAGGGGAAAAGTCACTAGAAAAAACAATGGGCAACAAAAGTTGGCCAAAGTTAAATGAAAATGTGCAGTCAATAGAGAAGGTTGACTGCAAAAGTTGGTTTTGCCGCTTTGGGGGTAAAAAGGGCTAGTGTCTGCCTGAGAATAGCAAAGACACCAGAAAAATGTATTAGGCAACGATAAGTTGGCCAAAGTACAGTGACGGCCAAACAATGGCTGCAACACTGACTGGAATGTATTTGGCGGGTAATCGGCCAAATAAATGTAAAGGCCCGGCTTGGGGCAAAAGATCACCGGGCAATAGGTATGAAATTGGCCGGATAAGGTAAAATTGGCAGGCTATTGGCCAATTAGAGTGACGGCCCTGCACGGGGCGGCAGATCACTCAAAAATGTGTTGTGGCCCGGCTTGGGGCGAAAATAAAGTAGAGCAACTTAAAAGTTGGTCTGGTTGTATAAGAGTACGGGGGCAGTGCGATTGGACTGCCAGGACCCGTACGGGGCTCCAAATTTAATGTGCTGAAAGGGTAGGTGCACAATACCTCGATAGTTCAATTGAGGAGGGACAGGAGGGATTCGATCAGAACGAATCAGCTCCTTAAGTTTTATGGTCGACGGAGATTTGCAATCTCCAAAAAACGAGTCCCTAAGAAAAAACACAAACGAAACACAAAACACAATTAAAAAATATTTATTTAATCAAAATAATATTATAATTGAAGTGCCTCGGGGGAATATAAGCCGAGCACAATTTTGGGGCTGCAGGTCAACAAAGCAGGCCCTTGTGGTCTTAAACAATATTAAAATGCGAGCAAGTTAAATAGGTTGGTTGGAATTGATTGGCAGGGCTCAAAAAGCGCTGGCAATCAAAAAGCAAGCAAGTGAAGAATGAATTACCAAACAAGTAAATGATGGGAACAACAAGTGATTAAAGGAAGTTGGCCAAAGCATTAAATAGGGGACAAAAAATGGGCGATAGAAAAATGTGAAATAGAAAAAAGTAAATTGTGAAAATGTGTTTTGGAGCGGGGAGAGATAAATAAATTTTAAAATATAGATTAATAAAATAAATTGGGATTTAAAGTGCCCTTTTGGGCACATACTCTTTATTTCAGTGGGAGTTTTTATTTTAAAATTTTTCCTAGCTGCTAAATAGGGGCAAAAGATCCAAACTTATGGCCATCCAAAATCAAAGCGTATTTTTTAAATTACACTACCCTCAATATTTAAGGGTGAATTACCTTTGGTGCTTGTCTCATTTGGAACTGTTAAACAAGGTGGAATAGTATCTGTTACGGATATTCAAATTATAGTGGATGTTTTTCGTAATTATCGGAATTCTTATTATTTTAAAATTAGAACAGGCGAGGAATGTGCGCCAGCAATAAAGGATAACATAGAAATAACCAATGATTTTCTTCCACAACAAGAAATATTATGTAATTTAATTATTTATATGTATAGTTCGAACATTTCACGTTTACGGGCCAAGGGATATGTGCAAGAGAGGGGTAGGGGATCATTGTGTACCGGCCGTTTGTGTATCTGGCCATATTTTGGGCCATAACTTTTTCAATTCTTAATTGATTTAAATAAATAATATATCAATTGAAAGCCCTGGATGTAGGATTATTTTCGCCAACAGGATTGATTTGATCAGATAATCATACAAAAAGTTACAAACAGATAAAGATCAAAATCACGATTGAGCGCATTTATCGAGATATAACTTTTTATAACATGATCTGATCAAATCAATCCTGTTGGCGAAAATAATCCTCACATCCAGGGCTTTCGATTGATATAATAATAATTGAAGTCGGTTAAGAATCAAAAAAGTTATGGCCCAAAATATGGCCAGGTACACAAACGGCCGGTACACAAGTGGGACGTTCCGCAAGAGAGACCAACTCAAAAAACACAAGGCCAAAATTTAACGCAAAAATTTTACACATAAATTTTGTGTTGGCCATTTTCCCATCATTTCTCAGTATATTGTGATGTAAGATTACTAACTGTACGAATCATGTATCAATTTTATGATATAAGATTTTGGATGGAAGTGATTTGGAGGGATATCGTGGATATCGCTCCCGGGGATTTGGAGAGTGGACAATTCGGGAGTGGACATTTAGGGAGTAATTTGGAGGGAGCTCAGTGAGTTGGGGAGATGTCGGAGGATTAAGATAGCAATGAATTTGAAGAGATAATGGGGAGATCAGAGAATTTAGAGGGATACGAAGAGGGCTATACATCCGGGGCCGAAGTTTGTATGAGCCGGCCTATGATTGAGGAATATTTGTATTTAGCTAAGGGGTTCCTCCTTTTAGCTCCTCTGTTTTCAAGAAGGAGCTCATAGCTTAATTTTAAGATTATCATACTATTAAATTAATTTTTATATTTTAGTTCATCCAAATACGAAATTGTTTATTTCCCATTGTGGTCAAAATAGTTTAACAGAGGTACCTCACTTTAAAATTACGACCGTCATTTTTTATTTTCCGGACGGTTTAATCATTTTTTAAATTAAATTTAAGATTAATTTTATAAGACTTTATTTTAAAGGCAATATATGCAGGTGTTCCTTTAATTTGCATTCCTTCTGGAGGTGATCAATTCTACAATTCCTCTCTAGTCGAATATTTGGGTATTGGAAAATATGTACTTTTAACATTTAAAGACGAGAGGGGCAATAATCAAAAGAATGAAAATTTTCAAAATGATTTTCAGAATGCTTTGGATGAAATGTTAAACAATTTGTTAGTGAAATTTTAAAATTATCCCATTGGAATTTTAGATTATATTTGGACAGTGTTAGATAACGGCTCCGGATGTCCGTTGCCATCGAGCACTGGGTCGGGTAAGTCCCTGGAGGGAGGAACCGTGCCCTAAAAACACTTTAAACGTCCACTCGAACGTTAAATTCCCTTACCAACCTAAAATATTTTTAAACTAATAATTCCAGAACATTATCGTGTGTACAGTAATCTGACAATAAAATTATTAAATATTTACAAAAAAATATTTTTTTATATTTTAGTGATAAATATTTCTACGAAATACATCAACTTAGAATGAAGATTTTGAATGACTATAACAATGTCGGAGCTAAGAAAACTTTTTTAGATACAATTTCAAAAGTTATTGGAGATTAATTTTATGAAAAAGAAGAAATAGGGCATAAATTTTGAGCGTTGTACCTTATGCCGCGGTTCCTTTGGGTGCACCTTATACCGGGGATAGGTCGGAATTTCGACTTCCGATGTTTTTTTCCTTCCGATTTCCGAAAAAATTTTTATTTCCGATTTCCGACTTTTGAGCCATTTCTGATTTCCGGCTTTTCCGATTCCGACACCTCTGACTGTTCCGACCCACCTCTGCCTTATACCACACCTTGTGTACCTTACAACTTGTATCTTTGGGTGCACCCACATTTGCATTACACTTTATTATTTTTACTTTTTCGATAAAACTAAAAAAATTTCCTTTATTTTTCAAATTTTTTATAAAAGCCTTGGTTTTCGATAAAACTTGTATAATTTTAAAAAAATGAATTTATTTTATTCAGGTAATTTAGGTAATTTTTCTAAAACCTTATCTATCATTTCAATTAATTTTTGTTCCGGGGATATTCTAGCTTTTGTATAACTTGTATATAATGCAAGCCTATTTAATGCTAATTTTCTTGTTCTATAAATTGTTGCCAAAAAATGTTCTGCATGGAAGGGTGAAAGCATTATTAAACGTGCCAATGAATTTGTTATATTTAACATTAAAATAATAAATTCTTCATTGATAATATTTGAGATTAAAGTGTCCAATAAATCAGATATTAGAGTTAAGGCAGCAAAAGCCGGTGGAATTTTGTACTTTAAATTATTAAAATTTATAAGAAATTTGAGGAAATTTTGTAGAAATGTTAGGAGGGGGGATTGTGACGTTTTAGGTGCAACAGTCTTTCTTGTAATAGGGAGAGTGTATTATGGATAGAATTGCCGTTTTCAAGGCACGGTCGAGGCATTTTTTCGAGCTTGCTTTTTATCGAGTCGGGCCGGTCGGGTCACTTTCGGGACAAATTATCTTAGACCCGACTCGATCTTTCGGTGAGTCGGTCTATTTTGGCAACCCTAATTATCGACATTTGTCGACATGCTCGGAACCTGATGAATAAAAACTCCATGTTAATTGCTATAGTGACCTAGTGACCGCCTTTTAATTAATTTAGTGAAAATATGGACTCCTAGAAAAAAAATAAATCCTCAAACATAGAGCTTCCCACTAATTTAAATTCCCTTAATAACCCATAATTTAAAAAAAATAAAAAAATATTCACATTTTCCAACAATTCAGTCATCAAAACAATAGTAAAAATACGCCTTTCCAAATTTCCTCCAGTAAGAAGTTCATTTATAGAATTAATTAAAACATGAGTTGAAGGAACTTTTTTGACTATAACTGGTATTAATCTTAATGGGTACATCTACAAAAACAAATTAAAAATTTTTTTGTTAAAATCCCCATCCAAAAACCCACATTAAAATGAACTAATTTAGGCAAATGAGTATCTGCAATAAAAAATTGATGTATTTGTGAACATAAAATTTGTTGAATTTCTTCCAAATTAGGTATATCTTTGGGGTTTCCATCACACAATTCAATAAATACTTGAACTACAGCTAAACGCTGTGTTCCAATGAATGAACGAAGTAATTCTTCTTTTTCTGCCATTTCACTAAAAATATTTGAATTTTTAAATTAAATAGAAATTTTATTTGCAGAAATAAGCAATTTTATGTGGGGTTCTCAAGCCTTCGAAAAAACAAATGAAATCTCAAGATTAGGGTTGTCGGTTCTGGACCGAATCGAAACCGAAGAACCGAGGATTTTTCGGTTCGGTTCAGTTTCGGATATCCGAAAGAATTTCCAGGAACCGACAAACCTACTCAAGCTAAATATTGGTATTAGTCGATTTTTTAGAAATTTGTTCTGAAATATTTAAAATATTAATTTGAAAAATATTTAACTAAAAAGGAGGAACAATTCCAGGATTTTATAAAATGTTGGAAATAGAAAAATTTATTTCTTAAGAAAAGCTAGAGAGCATGTATTGTGAACGGGTACACCCCAACTTACCGCAGAGCTATAATTTCGTTCAGAACTGTCAAATCTGGGATGTCCAGATATGTTTCGATTCAGCTCTTCGAGGCGTATCGAACCAAACCAGGGCTTGTCGGATTCGACAATTCTGAACAAAGTTATAGCTCTTCGGTAAGTTGGGCTCCCATTGAGGACAACAATAAATTAAAATTTCCCCATTTAATTAAATTGACATTTTTCTTTGTTAATGGACATGTAAAATATTTTAAAAAATTTTTAACCTTTTCGTATTATAAGCAATTGCCCTCGTTAATTTAAGATAATTTGCATCTCTACTTGCAGCCAAATAAAAAGCTAATAAACGGCAAAAACATTTTAAATGTGGTGGACTTTTAAAAACACGAGAGTCCGCTCTGAATAAAATTAATGGAGTATGCGATATAATAAAATCGTTGTCCCGATCATCTAAATTTGGAATTTGTGAAGCTTGAGGAGATTTGAGCCATAAACGGATTGTATCTTCGTGTAGACGGCGAGGGAGAACGCTTTAAGAGAAAAATATTTTTTAAGAAAGATTTAAAAAAAATTATTTTTTCGGAAAAAATGATTAAATGAACTAATTCTCGAGGCTCTGGTTTCAACATTAAATAGTAAGGAAAATTGACCATTACGAGATGGTCTCAGGAAGTAAGGAAAAATATGATCCGAGCACTCCTTTCATATAGAGTCAAAATTTTGATTAGACTCATAAACTGTCATGGGACTCATAAAACTTCATTGACTCATAAAATGTCTTTGGACCAGTCTCGGCTGGAGTATGTATCCAAGACCAAAAAAAAAACAAAAAAATAATACCTATCAAAACGTTCCCACAAAAGTTCCAATTTTTCTACTAATGCACGTGGCCAACGCTCTTCATCCAACGATACAGTCATCGCTTGCAAAATATTTTCAAAATGAGGCATTTGTGACTGAATTGGCAGATTAAACAATAAATCAGTTAATTTTGAAAGTTTAAAGAATCCACGTCCGTTGGTTGCATCTTCCAAGGCACAATTGAATTCAGAAACGGGGACGATACCTCTCTTTCCACGAGTAAAAATATGTGTAGTTTGGCTGTAGAATAAATTAAAAAAATTTTAAGTAAAAAAAGCAAAATAAACCCTTTAAACGAGTCAAAATGTATTTGCTCTGGAAGTAGATGGGGAAGGCTTAATACCTGAAAATTTAATAAAAAATTATTTAATTAATCAATGAATTTTTAAAAATGTTTATATATCCAAGTCATTAATTGGATTTAAAAATCGGAACGAGACAACAAAGCCCAAAACAAAAATCTCGGTTATCCAAGGCAATATTTTTCGAAATCTCCCAACCGACCTTTCCAGTTCGGTCTCTAATTGAATCCCATGGGATTCTAAATCACTCTTATTTAAAAAATAGTTTAGTAAAAAAAGTAAGTCAAGCCCATTAAAAATTTAAGTCTGGATTAGATACCGGACTGGGAGTGTCGTATGAAAATCGAAATCACAAAAAATTCGATAAACGAATTTATCTTGATAAATCTCGATCGAAATCTCGAAAAATCTTGTCGTACGAGAATAAACGAAATTTTAAATCTAGATCTCGTCTCGGTCCGGTCTCTAGTTTGAATATTTCGAAAATAGAGGAAAATGTTTTCAAAAGGTTTCCCTTTTACTAAACCAAAAATAAAATTTAAATTTTAACCAAATATCTCTGTAACATCAGTCTAATGTGTTGAAAGTCTGAATGTCTCATATCTGCCACAATTAACAAATAACGAATTGGAATAGATTTCCATAATGATTGACTATAAGCTTTAGGTGTTTTAATTGTCCCTCCTTCCTTATTTGAAGACGAATCCAATTTGAAAGTAAAAGCAATAAGAAAAGCGAGTGAAAGTATTCGAATAACAAGTTTGGAATCATCAAAAATTTCTCCAGAAAATATTTCCTTTAAAAAATTTTTTGTGAAATTTTGAAAATAATTATTTAATTTACCTGGAAAAATTGTTCATCAATTGATTGATTAAAATGAGGATATGTTTCTGATGGAATACAACTACTCGCAAAATTTTCTAGTAAATGTGGCACTATTGGATGTATAGGTGTATGACATTCAAGCATTTGTGTTTTGACCCATTCCTGAATTTTAATTTAAAAAATGATAAAACGAAGAAGATGATGATAAGCGAAAAAAACACGGATTTGGGCCGATACTCCGGAAAAATCCGGTCGGCTATGGCTTGGGGTGTAGGGGGGAATTCTCCGCCCCCCCCCCCCCTCCCCGAAATGGGGAAAAGGAAAAAAATTTGGGGAAGGGATTAGGAAAAAATTGAGCAAAAATGAAAGGATTGAGCAAAATCCTGGCTACGGGCCTGCTGGAGTTGCAGACACTTTAATTCAGTAAAGAATACAAAAAAATTATGTCGATCTCTAAATACCAATTCAAAAAAATCGCAAAGTTTTGTGCTCGTTTGTAGGGATAATAAGGTTAAGGAAGAAACCCCCAAACCTAGTCATTTTAATTTTTAAAATTCTAGAAGTTACATTTATTGAGGTACTATATTTCGAAAAAGAACGCCAATGTAGCATCGCACAAATACAATGTACAGGCAAGTATCCAGACATTGTTGCATTCAAACGTTTTGTTATGTTTATATTAGCTGCTTTTTGTGCAACATCTTGTTGATTTATTGCGTTTGCAATATAAAGTTCTTTGACAAAAGGTTGTTTTGAGAGAGTTTTTGGGACCTTAAAAAAATTTTTTTGAAAACCTTTCTATGTTCGAAAATTCTTTACCTTATGTCCAAGTATATTAGAGAGCAATATTGACAAATCTTCAGCATTATCAGTAACCAAATGTACATAAATAAGAATCATTACATTGCTGAGAGGAGCATATTCAGGCTTTTGAATGAGTGAATGGAGGTAAGAGAAGAACGAACTCAGACTTTTTCCAATTTTTTCATCACGGAAAGACACTTGGTCCCTGAAATATTGTAAAGATATAGAAGAGATAAATCCTTACAGCATTAAATTTGGAGATGCCAAAATTGTGGCTAGCGCAATTTTGAGCGACACATCATCTGTGTTTGTTTTATTAGCCAAAAATGAGACCCATTGACGGCTTTCATCATTTGAAATACGCAAAGATGAACATGAAGCGATTAATGAAACAAGTAAAACAACTCGACTTTCTAATTTGCGATCTTCATCTTTTCTGAAAATTAGAAATAATATTTATTGGACATCCACAAAAAGGGAACAGAGTTGATAGGAAGTCAATATCGGATTCACTTCTTGTCGAATTTTTCATCGGGAAAAACTCCAAAAAACATACAACTTATAGAGTTGGGGTTTTCGAGTCGGGCCGACGTTCGAGTCATTTTTATCAGGCCGGCCCGACCAAGTCTTTTTCGGGCCATAATTCAATGCCCGACACGATCTTTCGGACTGGGCCGGATCGGGCCCCCAACCCTAATCCCTTACAAAAAAATTATAACCTGCATTTTTCCATAATTGAACTTATCCGTTGACATACTGCTCTCATCGATGGTTTGTTTGCAGTTTTGGAAACAAACGAAACAAATTCAGAATTATTTCTATTTGAGAATTGTGCAATTAATAAATCAACGAAAAAATGGTCTCCCGTAGCATTTGAGCAAATTAATTGAACTGTTCCTTTTACATCTTTTGCAGATTCAAGTTGTAAACAAATTGAACGTTGAGAAGTTGAAGGTTCAATTTGAAAGATCTAAAAAAGATTTAAATTCTAAAATTTTTTCTGTTAATTGTCAGTGGTTTCCTGTCTGATTGTGAGCGTCTGCGTCCCCAAAAAGTGTGAATCTTCTTGCGAAGAAACTTTTACAAAATCAAGAAAACCAGAATTATTTTAGAAAATCCTTTCATAAAGAGGCTAACTGATTAAACTAGGGTAGCTCCTCGACGGGTCAGAAATGTCATGGATCGGGGTAGAGCCTTCGGGGTTGGGATCGAGGTCCTTGCCAAAACATCGTCTGGACCGGGGTACGGGGAGCTAACCTAGATTAAACAATAAATTTTGTATAACAGACCTTAAACAAGGTAGAAATATCCTTGTCCTCAACAGCCGGTTTGTCGGTCAATAATTGCTTCAATTTCTCTTCCATTAGAAATATTATTTAAAAATTAACACCTAAAAGCATATTGAAAATTTCAAATAATTGAAAGATAAAACGAGAAAGACACAATCTCCTCTTATAAAAAAATTTAATCAGAAAATATATTATTTCTAAAACAAAAAAAAACTAAAAATAACAACATTTTCAATCATCGGATAAAGCAGTCTTTTTTTCTTCCTTTAACAATATTTTATGGGAACCATCACAAAAAGGCCTATTTTTTGTTTGTTTACAATTACATAACCACACTTCCATATCTCTATCTGAAAAAAAGAAAAAATATTTTCAAGTTTAATAGAAAATTTAACCTGGAATAAAACGCACAGGTTTAAGTTTAATAGCCCATTTGGGCAAATAAACGGTTAAATGAGTGCCGTCACAAAGAGGCTGACTTCCGGAATAACCACAACTACACCAAGTATAGACCTAAAAAAAAAATAAATTTTTTAACATGAAATAAATCGTTGATTTAAGCACAAGTTTAAAATTTTGTTTTATGCAACTTGCATACGTATTCGCTAGATTTCCATTATAAAACCGGCTAATATGAAAGTTACCATATTGTCTCTAATAGAAGCCCACCAAGAGGGGTATTGAAAAATAGAAGCGCTGGGCTTCTATTAGAGACAATATGGTAATCTAAATTTTTCCCGATCAATGACTAGCCGCTAAATTGACAGCAGACTTGAGGTAGAAGGAAATTTAAACCATTTTCCTGATCCCTTATCCAAACAACTGACCGAGAATTTAACTCAATAACCAGAAAATGTGTGAAAGCAATTAAACAAACCTTATCTTTCTTCAATAATGCCTTTGTAGGTAACTTTGAGTGAACTTTTCCAAATCCTGGCAAAAGATGATTTGTTCCTTGAATGCCATAAGGCATTTCCGGCTTTTTATCGTGGAGCTAAAAAATTTATTTAATCAAGTTTTTAAATTTAAAACAATACATGATGGTATTTCAATACAGAAGGCTCAGTTCCGACAAAATGGACGCCTACTCTATGCATCCGATAAGGCCCAAAACCTGTTTTTGAACATTTTAAAGATGACAAGAATAGACAAAGAGGGTTGGACAACCGCATCAAAAAATTTAAAAAAAAATTAAAAATATTTAAAAAAAATTCAAGATAACACAAAATGCCTTTAAATAGAGATTTAAAACAAAAAATCCTTTAAAAAGTCAACTCAAAAATTTATTTTTTAAACTTTCAACAAACAAATTATATCGCTAAAATCCTAGAAAATTAAATTCTTCTCGTCCTCTCAACTTTTCTTCTAAAGAGCAAACAAAATCAGAAAGCCCATAGTCAAGCAGAAGAGTCCCATAGCTTCGGACAATGCAAAACCGAGAATTGCATAAGAGAAGAGTTGTTGCTTCAAAGAAGGATTGCGAGCAAAGCCAATGAGCTTAAAAAATAAATTAGTTACCCAAAGACAAGTTAAGAAAATACCAACGATCCAAAAACGTTCCCAATACCAGCACCAGAACCAGCGACTCCAGCAGTTGCCGCTCCTTGAATTTAGGAAAGTTTGACACGGAGAGGTTGCTAGGTGTCCGACCCGGTCGAGACCGGGCTCATTCGATAGGGAATGTACCCTTTCTAGCAGGCCCGTAGCCAGGGGGGGGGGGTGAGGGGGGGAATTCCCCCCCCCCCCCCCGAAATGGGAAAAAGAAAAAATTTGGGGAAGGGCTGGGGCAAAAAAAGTGAATTTTTTCGGCCTACGGCCTCTGAAATTTAAAAAATTTTCGCCTGCGGCGCTAAAAAAGGAAGAAATCTGGCTTCTTAAGGTCCAAAATCCAAAAAATTTTGGCGTCTGCGGCGCCGAAAGAGTGAATTTTTTTGGCCTACGACCTTCTAAAATTCAAAAAATTTTTTTGCGACTTTTGCGACTTTGGAGGGCCATATCTTGGCTAGATCAAAAAACGGGCAAAAACGGCTCAAATCCTTGCTAGAAAGAGCACATTCCCTATCGAATGACCCGGTCTCGACCGTTTTTAGGTCGGACACTCGCAACCTCTCCATGTAAGCCTAAAATCTCAAAGGAACCTGCTCCAATATATTTCGCAGCACTGTCAATATCCTTCCGAACAGCACTTGTACTAAACATCATTGCCTGGTTTGGGCTAAAGATTGCTTGAACATGAAATCCACCAACAAATTGACGAAGATTCGATGAACGAGCAATAATAGCAACTTGGCGAGAAGCGAGAGGAGCGAACATTTTTATTTGTAAATGATTGATTTTGATTAAAATACTGAACTAAAAGAAGCTTAAATTGGTAAATTAAAAATAAAATAATAAATTAAAACTCCAAAACTCTCGATAAAAAATAGAAAATTTTTCTAGTTTCCGGAAAAATCTTTAAAGGTCGATTCAAAGTTAGCCGCTTCTCCATTGGCCAGTTCAAAGTAAGACCGTAACTTTCTTAGGAGTACAGCCCAAGTAGGCGCGCGGCCATAACGGCGCAATGCCATAACTTGCTTCAAGATTTCCGTATCTTATAAAATTTAGTATTAAACGATTTCTCTCATCGAGCTAAAGTGAATGGCAACAAAATTGATACGGGCCAGAAAGTTTCTTGCGAGTTATGGATTTGCGCCGTTATAGCAGCGCGCCTACTTGGGCTGTCCCCTTTCTTAGTTTTCGCCTGATTTTCTCGTATCATTCGAAGGTTCTTGAGATTCGGCATCTTTTTCATAATTAGACCGATGTGACAATGAGTAGAAGATATTCTATAAAAATAAAGGTGCAGCACTGCTACGATGAATTGGACAACCCTGAATCGTCCCAATAAATAAATAAAACGCCAAGAGTGATGCCAAAAGGTTGAAAAGTCAAAAGTGAATATTCGTTAATTACTGTAAACGGAGAGAAATAAATTTTCTGAACGGAGAAAATTAATTTCTGAGACTTGAACAATATTTGGAACAATATTGTCATTTACCCTTATGTGTTACTTTGGAATTTCTTAGCTAGGTTTTCCTTGTTGATCTTTTGGGTGTTGATCAATGTCGGTTACTCTTTTATCGATTGTCTTCGCTGGCTGCTGCCTTGGGAAAATACACAAGTAGTGGGAATGGGAAAGCGACTACGCTGTGAACGATTTTTGGTTGGTTGGGGATAGTGAAGGATTGGGGCCGGGAAATGCTTTTTAATAGAAGGAGGGGGGGGGGTATGCTGGCTGACGACGATTTTTCTCCTTTTCTTTCTTCCTTTCATTCATTTTTTCATCCATAGCGACGGAGCGGCCGTACAGCTTTTTACGCTCCCATACCCCAAACCTTCCAGCAGCTCTCTTGTTAAGTAACTGCTTTCGTCGCTGTTGACGCGATGTCGACGCCATTTGCCCGACTTGAAACGTCACCAATGAGCACCGTCCCGCCCAGGGCCGTCTTTCGTTCATAACTCTATGAGAGAAAACTAACCAACAAACATCGACCCCCAAACACAGCAAAATGAATTGCTGCTCTTCTACTATTTTTTCCTTTAAACGAAAACGTCAACAGACCTGAGAATGAGAGCAGCCGGCTATAGACAGCCAGTCAATCCAATGTCTTTTTTAAGTAAAAATGGACATTTTTTCACGATTGTTTGCTCTGCAGTAGAAGGAAATCATGACAGGATTTTTTTCTGATTTTTCTAGCTTTCCTACTTTACAACGGCTATTTTTGTTTTCCCCCTTTTTCTGGTAAAAATACTTCCAAAAAATTATTTTTGATTTTCTATTTGGTGATCTTCTGGATTTATCCTTCAGATTATTGACATTTTTTTATTTGACAAATTGACATATAGACACACGTATTTATATTTTTGAATTTGTCTATCCCTTATATAAATTTACGTCAAAAGAAAAATTTTTTTAATTCTCGCACTCTCCATTATCGCCATTTCCGCTACTACTTAAATTTTTTTTTATTAATTTATTTTAATTTAAAAAATAAAAAAAATTTTTTTAAAGAAATAACTAAACACCTTCCCTTGCTGAATAATGTTTTCCTTCCTGTTTTCTCTCTACTTTTTAATGTTTTTCAAAAATTTCCTCTCTTGAATATCGTTTAGAATTTTTAACATTTAATGTTTTTTCTGCTAAAAAAATTTTTTTCTTCTCATTAATTCACCTTAACATTTTTTAACATTCAACATCCCTTTTTTCATTTTTTTTCTTCGCGGACATAACCATATTTTTTTCTTTATATTTTTTCTTTTTAGCCTCGTATTAAAGCTAGCCCCCCACATAGTCCCCTTCTATCCCCCATCTCTTTTTATGGTGATAAATAGTTGAGGAAGAGTCGGAGGGGAAACAAAAAATACAACAAACGGATAGAAAAATGGGGGGAAGAATTTCTATAGAGGTTGGGGAAGGGGGGGGGGGGAATGTGTACTCTAACAATATTTCCCCCACACTTTTTTATTTATTTTTTCTTCAGAAGCTTTTTCGATGTAGGGGCAAAATATGAGAAGAATCGTTTTCGTCATTTTTAATGTTATCTTCCCCTCTCCATTCCTTTTTTCTATTAAAATAAATCCGATTTATATATTCTTCTATTGTTTGAAAGATTTCCTTTTTTACAGTCAGATTTGGCCTATTCATTTATTCATAATTTTTATTGAGTCATAAAAGAATTTTCAGATAATTTGTTTTTCCAGTTACCCTATTGTTTTTCTTTTATTTTTTTTCTACAAAATTTTACGTGGTATTTTTCCTAATGAGAAGGTCCTCTTCTATTAGGGAGTGCCCTCCCTTTCTATTGGAGTGCCCTCCCTTTCTATTAGAGAGACACTTCTTTTATTGGAGAGTGCCTTTCTATTAGGAAGCACTCTCGTTTTATTAGACCTTTCTATTAAAGGGTATTCTCCTTTTATTGGAGTGTGATGCCCCCCTCTTTTTTAATGCCTCCCTCTTCTAGAGTATCCCATTATTATTTTTTTAATTTCTCATTCTTTGACCCTAAACTAAGTTTCGTATCTCCATTTGACTCTTAGAGACCGGAACAGGAGTATCGTACAAGATCGTTCGAGATATCTTTTGCTCGAAGTCTTGTCTCGATCTGGTTTCTATTTTATATAAAAGTCGTTATGGTGCCCCTATACTTTTCCATTATTTGAATTTACTGTGCATTTGTCTATTTTTTATTATGCTTATTTTAACTCTCCTTTTTTACGTTTATTTAAAAAAATTTTTTAATATTTTATTTTATATAATTTTTATTTTAAATCTACATAAGAAAACCGAAAATGCTAAAATAAAATTTTTTTTCTCCAATTGTTTTTTTTTAATTTTTTTTTCAGAAAACTAAAAATAAAAGAAAAGGCAAAAATAAATGCCTCGCAACGCCTTCTAAAAAATAATATTTTTTGCAAAGCCTATGGACGGCTAATCGACTTACTCAACAAATAAACATTACTTAAGGGAACGAGAACACAATAGAAAAGAGAAGTTGGCATTTAGCCCGGAAAGAACTCAAAAAAGAATAAAAATACAAAACACTTTTTTTGAAAAGCGACCATTTGTGGAAAAAAAGGTGTGAGAGAAAATTTATATTTTTAAGTCAAATATTTAAGGCTTTTTGGGCGTAGGCGTGTTTGGGCGCTCGCAGAAAAAATTGGGTTAAATATTGACCCTAGAAGCTTGAAATCTCCTTTCTTTCAGAATTCCATAATTATTTTCATAATTACTATTTTCAGAATTTTTTTTCAGAATTAAAACTAAAAATTTCAGAATTTTTCGTTTCAGATTAACGGAATTTTGCTGTAATTTGTTTAATTATTCAAATAAACACCGGCTTAGCACACCGTATCTTACCTTGTTTCTTTCATAAATTTTTTTCCTAGAGGCCAAAAATTCTGAAATTTTCTGATGCGTTAGAAACCTTTATTCAAAAAAATCTAGTCGAGATTTTATTACCTAGAGTGCCATCTTTTAGGCGATTATTACACGCGCGCCCAAACATTCCTGCGCCCAAACAATACCAACCCTTTAATATTAGCATATCAAACCGTTAAATATAACATTTAACTTTAACTTAAGCATTGACAACGAGTGCAAAAAGGAGGTGGCAACGGCTATAAAATAATTATAAAATAATAATCTCCTCCACCTACACATTGCTGCGCGGTCTCTACCGAAAAAGTGGCTGTGTGTACCCCCAACAACATTAAAAAGCTAATTCCTTCTCAAACAACGCTTTTTTGCCAATCTCTTCATTCCCGTTCTCACGTCTTTTTTAAACACACACTCGCTCGCTCATTTTTCATCATAAAAAAATTTTTTTGCGGCATCTTCTTTCCTCTTTAAACAACATTTAAACACATTTCCGTGCCTTTATCTGACAACATTAAGGCAGTTTGGACAATCTATTTACAAACAACTCTATAAATTATCGAGTTTAGGTGTTCTCGACAGTTTTGGCCCCTTCATTGAGCAAAACGACAGAAAAAATTTTTTATAAAGCCTCAACAACAACAAAAAAGATTTTGCCACATTCCTCTGCGCATTTTCTACATAATATAATATATTCTATTTATTCTTTCTTCTTAAATAAAATATTTTTTTTCTACTTTGTGTGTTAGCTGAATATATCTCTCAAAGCAACGCATTATTTAAATAACAGCAGCAATCTTGTAAACTTCTCTTTTTTTGTCATCAACTCTAAAAAGCTTCAGTAGAAAGACCAAAGTTTATTCAGTCCAGCTTTGTTTCTCTTTTTCTTTTGTTGACGAAAAAAAAAATAAAGAAGGAAAAATTGGTGTAAACGAAGGTGCTTTTCTCTCTCAGTCATTTTTATTCTTCAAGCGGAAAAATTATTTTTTTTTCACACATTTATTGAAGAGAAGAAATCTTTAAAAAAACTTAATCAAGAAAAAAAACTTCTAAATGTCCTCTTCTTTTCCTTATGGACAACAACCTTCAGGCAATGGAAATTCTTCTAACGGAAGTGGAAACCAATCTAATAACAACGGGACGAATTCCACTTTGAATGTTTCTGTACAAAATGCTGCAGCTTTAGCGGCGTTAGTTCAGCAGCAACAACAACAGTTGGATACAAGCTCGCCTATTAGTTCTTTGGTGTCTGATCAGTTCCAACAAAATCAAGTTGGCTTTTTTGAATTTAAATTGTTAGGTTATGGTATTTATCGATATTATCGATATTAAGAGTTTTCGGTAGATCGAACTTGATCGTCGAACCATCCTTAATTTTAAGTTTCATATTGAACTACAAAGGATGTTCCTTATGGAACCGGATTTTGTCGTTCTTTATAATCCCACCAGGGTTCTCATTTCAGAAATCTCGGTAAAAGAGATATATAATTTTGAACAAACTGTTTAAAATGAGCGATCTTAATATAACAGCATAAGCTAAGTTCTATTGTGATTTAAAGTGTATTTGAAGTGCGTAAATAAGGCTTGTAGATTTCCCTAAAAATTTTTGGCCATCTTTATTTTTTATGGAAAATTTTTCTATTTTATGATACGAAAAAATTAAAAACATTGCCTTCTTTCATTTATACACAAAAAAGTTTCCAAATTAAATAATTTTATAACCTTTTTATTTGTACCCAATTCCATTTAATTTTTCCATTTCCTTAAAGTTTTCCACTTTTTTTCTAAAATTTATATCACGATTAAAATAGCTAAAGATTAGTTTTAATTGTAAACAAAAAGGACAGGTTTCACCGGAAATATTGAGGGGATTTTTATTTTTATGGGAGAATTATATAGTTTTTCTTTGCGCGGCCGACCTTTTTTATTTTTTTTTCTAACATTTAAAGATTATTTTTTTTCAGTTTAAAAAATTAGGCAGTTTAGACTATATGATTTTTAGAGCCCGTAGCCAGGCGGTAGTGGGAAAAATCCTATTTACGGGACTGCTTTGAGTATATGGTGAATTTGAGCTTTCTAACGGATAGCTTTTGGGGATCTTTATTGATCCTAACACCCTTCAGTCAGTTTTCCCCTTCAAAATGTAATAAATTCTCATTTTAGGCAGACTCCCTTCCCTTAAACAAAGCTTTCTCTGCCCAAAGCCGACTCTATACTTTTCTCGACTTGTCCGATCTAGTGTTAGGCACAATTCGGTACTACCGCGGTACTACTAGTATTGATATTGAA